AAATTCTATTGGAAAGGTGCAAGATTTGTCACAAGAAAATGGGAAACCAAAAAGTTTTCTTACCTGTCACTTGACTTGTCCTATTGTCATTTCACCAGCTAGGAAATAACTGTTTGGGGAGTTTTAGAACCTTATAGTCAAACTGACTAAAGTCTGTTGGTTCTACTCCCTCAACAAAATGGCCTTCTTGGTTTGATCATGCTGTTCTGAGTCCTTAGGTTGATTTCCTAATTTTCTGTTGTTGTTGGCTTCTCCTGGGTTGTGTTCCTAGCCATGGCATAAACTTATGATACACAGGATCTTATCCTGGTCACTGGTCACCAATTATAACACAGCCAGCCCGGCTCGATCCAGGGTCTCTCCCATGTGGGTCAGTATGGGTACCAGTCAACAGATAACCATCAGTTGACCAGCGCCTCATTCTTTTGTTTGCTCTGTCCCATGTTGAGTTCTTTGATCACAGTGCAGTGAAGATCTGAGTGCTGAATTGAGTTGGCAGAACCATGCTATGAAAAAGAACAAGAATGTCTCCACCAGTGAAAACACAAATATCATAACAAATAATGAAGAAGGCCACTAGGTTAATTTTCAATGGGTTTATATAATTGTTGATAGAACAAAATTAAAGATGTTAGGTTTAACAGCAGGTCACATTGGTTCAGCAGCTTCCTCACTGCTGTTGATTCATCTCAGCCTTCTCCAGTGACAGATCCTACAACTGGCTTCAACAGATCATTCAGTTTATATGAATCTCGTCTAACTCTCACTACCCCTCAAAGGCCATTACATATTCATCAATTAATTATTTTCTCCAAGCCTAGAGTCATGACATCAACCCTAAAACAAAGCAGTCTGGTATTTCAAAACAATAAACTTTGTTTTTACATTCCTCTTACCCTCAAATTATGATTTACATTAATAAATTTTTACATTCAAAAATTTATTTCAAATTGGCAAAGAATTCTCTGTTTTTAGAAACAATAATTTCAAATCAAAAAAATATTTCAAATCAGCAATTTCTTCTGGTTGTCAATGTACAAAATCCTGAACTCAACCAATTATTTTGTCCATTTTCAAAACACACATCAAATTATTTACATTTCTCCAAAACATATTCTGGACTCCATATTCCATCTTTTATTTACATTTTGTTGCTTTACCAACATTTGTTTCCTGACCTTGAATGATATTCATTTAACAAAATAGTCAACTACAAGAATTTCTACTTCTTTTGCTGAATTCTAGTATGACTTAAATATCTCTTGTAACAACCATCAGTTCTTTATCAAAACAAAATTTATTTATTCCAAATCAGCAAAACAAAATTTCTTTTACTGTTTCACATTCCAGTTTCTGTATTTATAACAATTCTTATATGCATTTCTGTTTATCAGAAATAAAAAGTTTCATTCTTTCATTGGCTTCATATTTCAATTTCTGCTTCTTCACTCCAATATTTTCTTGTTCAATGGTTTTCAACCCTTCCAATGGTCCAATTCTATGCAGGTTTTTTACACAAGCTCTTTTTAATTCCTAATTTCAACTACCAGTGTCACATTCCTTTCAACTATAGTGTCATAAATTAACCCAAGTCCATTTCCTGAAATATGTTTTGCAACAAGCTGCATTTAAAGAGTTATGTTCGGGGTCAATCCTTGATGCATAAGGCATCCTAAAGGGCACTTCAATGTGGTGCAATGGTTAGCTGGTTTGTTTTGTTAGATGAGTTATGATAGAATAGTGTCCCTTACTTTCAGCCTTTTGCTACATCTAACAAATGCTTCCAAAAAATCTTCATAAGGCATCCTAAAAAGAGAACTGAACAATTTCCATCAAGTGTTAGTGGGGGCAGTTAGGTAAACATCTTCATATCAAGAATTCTGATGATTTCCAAAGCTTAATTATTAGAAAGTACATCCAATTGTAATAATGCTTCCAGAGATCCAAAATAAATCAGAGTAAAGAATTTTTGGTAAATTTGCTTTTTAATCTCCACTATAAAAATTTTCCGAAATCGTCACATTTCCGTGTAAATGTACATGTTGAACGTGAAATAACAATTAAATTATGATAAAACCTACCGTTTTGGAGTTATTGACAAGAAAAATTCAGACACACTCGTGGTCATTCGTCCGCCATTACCAGCTTTGTGTAATTAGATTCACTGCAGATCACTTCCATCATGCAATCATAACTTTTTGGCCTATTTACTGCTGTTCCTCTGGCCTAGCTCTTCTTACTAATGGAATATGAACAGAATGAAAATGTTAACAGTAACTTTTAATCTAGAAATCAAACCTTCAAAATAGCTTTTAATAAAAGTATTCGTAGAACATTGAAGGGTTGATAATTTGGCCTTGTAAAAATAACCAACTTCTCCACAAAGAAAATGGAAAGATGAAAGCAGATAAAGTGCAAATTTTTTTATAATCCACAAATTTTTCAGTTGATTTTACAAGTTTCTTTTTTGAAGACAATATTTATTCAACAGGAAATAGACAGTAAGATTTCTTAATGATTCCTCTTGTGGAGTAATGTCTACCCAGATTTTAGGTGGAAAGATAAAATCTCAATGTTGTGCCCACAAATACAACTCAAAATTATAAACAATGCAGAGAAATGATCTTCGAAGAAAAAGAAAACCAAGCTAAATATGATAATAACATTTATACAGGCAGATACATGTATTTAGATATTAAAATTCAATGTTTGTTGTTGTGGCCATGAAGAGTTTCATTGTTCGAAATGATTTGTTGCAAGTGAGTCTGCAAAGTTTCAAAGCATCTTTGTTGCAGGAAATCAAATGGTATGTATGTCAATGTGTATGTGTGTGTGAAGCACACACTATTGAAATGTGTGTGACTGCTGACCGATTGTATGCAATAGCAGTAATTTTAAATAAGGTGAGAGAGAGAGAGACAGGACTCACCTTCATGCTTTTGTAGGTTTTTCAGCAATAAAAAAAATGTTATCATGGTAATGTGTGTCTATGGTGTTGATCAAAGCAGGGCCTTGTTTGCTGAAGATCTATTATTGACTCTCCTTGTCTTTTCCTGGTGGGTCTGAATCAGTATCTGAGTTTTGTGCAGGAATGTATTCAGTAATCTGAACCTCAAACTTTTCCCAGGTCATTTTGAGTTCAAATGCATGGATATTGTAGAAAGTCATATAATATGACTTGTCCTATCCAATCAGGTTCCAGAAACCACTTATTTAATTTGGAATTCTGATTTATTTGTAGGTGTCTCTTACTTGTTTGTGCTTCACTTATTGGCCATAAAATATAGGAGTTTATATCCTATACTCTTACTACTTCAACTGATACATTTTTTCACACAAACCGTTATCCAGAATGGTGCACTGCTACTTGATATGTTGTCTCTTATTTATACATGGTGTGTGGATGTAGTATTAAAACACAAAACTGTGGTTCTTGAAAAGCATAACATTTCTAATAGCTCTAGTCTACATTATTAAAAGCTGAAACTTTGCAGATTAAACCGTTGATATATATTTTATCTACTTTGTAGCTTTTATCTTTCTCCATAAATCAAGTTAATGAAATTTTGGTATCCACTCAGTAGTGATATATCGAATCTTAATTTTTAACGAAAAGGTTTTATCTGAAACTGATTAATTGATGTTAATAATGTGCCTTCTACAGAAACATATGGTAATAATAATTCTTTATTCAGATACAAGCTTGTAACTGATTGGAAACTGAATTAAAATGCTTGTTAGATTCATGTAAAAAAAAAAAAGTGTCTTTATGGTTGTCACACACACAAAAAAAAGAAGTTAAGCACAGTTGAATTTGCCAACATATGACCTAAATTTTATTTTTACAGCACAAAGCTAGTACTAAAAATCAAACATTTTCGTTATTTATAGAAAAAAACTATATACGAAACACAAACGTAATATAAATACATCTTACCAAAAACATCATTTTTAAATTTTAATTTTATGATAAAATGATGTTTTATATAACAATAAAAATCAGAACTTTAAAAAAAAATATCTCATGAAAAATTAAACGACTTACTGCTTAGCTTACATTACAATTCTATTTCTAATTCTTTCACTGGCAACTCTACAGACAATTTTTTTTTCCATTAGTGCTCAACTTTCAACTACTCAGTAACACTAACTAACCGAACGTCTATAATTTTCAAGTACGGAAGCCTGAAAAGGGTGAGGGTCGTATTTTTGTTTATTAAATTTGCTGACAGCATCTATTCGTGGTATTAGTTTGTGGACAATTATTATTTTTTAACAATTTGATATTCAAACTTTTAGTTTTAACTTTTTATCCGAACGGTCAGTCTTGTTTTTCTTTTTCGTTAGTTTGAGGAAAGTAACTAATCAGATTCTTTACTCGAAGAAGAGGCTGATGCTGCCAAAAGTTTTAGAAGACAAAAAAAAAAAAAATTAACATTTATTTTGGGGTTTTCGTTTAGGTTTTTTGGTGCTAACAAACGAAAAATTCCTCATGTTTTTGGAGTGGGGGGAAGATTTGAATTTATTTTGTGTTTTTTTAAAGTTTTAACAACATAAACTCCGTTCTCATTTCTACAAAAAAAAAAATTATACTGCTTTAGTGTACTGTTAGTTAACAGAACTAACACATTTGGAAATATTTTTGATTTTTTTAAAGTTAATTAACTGTGATAAATACTCATGAAAAAAACTAAAAAGTCTTTCAATCCGTATTTTGTTTTTATTACTGAGCTTAAAAACTCAAGTACCTTTTTAAAATTATTGTTATTGTTAAGATTTTTTAAGCATGAATTGAAATCAGAAAGACTATAAATCTGCACAAAATTATTATTACTTAAAGCAGAAAAAAATGTTTCCGATGTAATTATTTAATAAATGATTTCCGCTCAGCTGAATTATCGATGAGTTTGTTTTTCTTAGATGTTAGAGATATTCATTAACAAGGAACTATCTTTTTTGCGCCACCGTCAATCCATTATTGAAAGTCATTGAATGGTATCATGGCGAATAGTTCAGGTATGTTTACACTTCTTTTTGTCTTTTAACTTTTTTGAATATAGAATAATCTGACTGAATATTTGTAAAGGATATATTGAATTGACTTATCAGTACTTTCGTTTAGTGCTGTAGATATTTTAAACTATAAGTCTAAAAACTTGTTTATCACTCCAAATCAAATCGTATTCAGTTTTTTTTTTTTTTTTACACTTTTCATGGATACCCATAGTTCATGGTTCAAATGTTAATCATAATAAACAAAATATTATTAGGATATTCTTATTTGTCAGCAGATAAAAATAAAAATATGTCAGCATTGTTGGTAAAACATATCTTAGAAAAGCAAAATATACGATAAAAGATTTTTATTATTTCCATGGAAGTGTTGTTAATGGTCATAAAGTAGGGGATCACTTTTTAATTTTAAATTCTTTTTGGCCTTTCTTGGAGAACTTGCAATTATTCTTGCTTTAATTACTTTTTTTTTTAGTATTCTGTACATCATTTTGTAAGATTACAAAATATTTTTCTTCGTGAACTTGCGAATCTCTTTTAATCTTATTTTTAAAACTAAAAATTCGTTTTCATTTTAAGTAGTGAAAAAAAAAATTCTTTTTTAAATTTAAAACGTATTGTTAATGAATGAGAAACACAATCACTTTGTACTTTAAAATTGAAAGTATACATTTTTGTATTTCCTATTTTGTGTGTTCTAACAATAACATGATGATTGCAACTTAGTTTTTTTAATTAATTTAATTCTTCATTTCCAACTGTGCATTCCTATTTTCTTTTTTTCAGTCTATCTTCACACAGACTTTTATGAAAAAAAAAATCCCATACCTGTGGCTGTATAAAAATTGTATAAATATTTTTTTTTCTGGTTGTCAATCATTATTCTGTTCCTTCGTTATTGTTGTATTTTCTAGTTTTGAAAATTATCAGAAGTTAAAAACTAAGGCATGAAGTATCGAGCCATTTTTTTTCTTATTCAGTTGAATTTATTTTTCAATCTGTTTCAAAACAATCCACCATCATAACTCGTACAAGTCTTTCTTTTATTAGTGTCCCAGCAATATTTTGTGATCCTGATTTGACGTTGGACAAAAAAGTTATATCGTGGTACTCATTTTTTTTTTTGTTTTGTTGTGTGTTGAAGAAGACTTAAAATAAAAATGCCAGTTACTCTAATCCTTCATCCATATGAAATGGAATTTGCCATTTCGCCGAGGGAGGAGAGTAGCATTCAACTTCGAAAAAAAAAATTCTTTAATCTTTCTCATGTTTAAAATAATTACACAGTATTATTTTTACATTTACTGATTCTCGCATAATAAAATTGAGATTTTCAGTTTTATTTAAATTACACACTACAGGTGTTGTGTTGTGGAACTGCTATGTTCTCCAGAAAAATAAAATTTAAAACACAACAAAAAATTGGAAGTGCAATCATTTTGAAAATGATTGTTTCGGTTTTTGCTTTTAGATTTTTAATTTCTTCTAAATTATTTCAGAAATTGGGAGAAATCTAACTGTCTCTCTTTTTTTGGTGGGGTGGGGGGGGGCAATAGCCACCTTTCTTTACCTTAAAATTTCGGGCCTAAATTTACTTTTTAAAATAAATCTATTTAAAAAATGATGTATTTTTTTTATAGGTACTACCACTTTTTCGCGGAAACTTATTTAATTGCAGTTGTAATTTTTTTTTTTTTTTTTTTTTTTTGATAGTTGTTATAGGTCATGATAAACCGGCTCAGCATGATTTTTCCGCTTCAGCTATATTTTAATTTTCTTTATTTTTATGAAAATTAGATTGTTTTTGTTTTGTTGTTGGAAAGATGTTAGTTTTTTAATTTATAGGGTGGCCCCAAAGTCTTAGCCTTTAGGTACCTCCACTAGGTCGCGTAAAAAAGCAGCATAGCATGATGGAAAAAGGCCCATAACTCAACGAAAACAAAGTTTGTCATCAAAATGTTTAAGAGGAAAGACCAAAATATTTTTTTTTATTATTTTGAAATTTTTTACTCCTTTCTAGCACGTTTAAAATTTTGGTTAAAAATTTTTTTTTTTTTTTTTTTTTTTAACGACAGCGGTCGAAAAGAGTTTTTATTTTGCGCTTTTCCCGAGGAAAACACACATTGATTTGGAAATTCTTGCAAAATTCAAATAATTGTCGGATCTTAATGAAACTTTCCAGAAATATTCACTTCAGAAATGAATGAATTTTTTTTTTTTTAAAAAAAAAAAAAAACGGTTAACGGTTTCATCGAAAATCTGCTCTGAATTGTATAAAAAAAAAATGCCAAAAAGAAAACTGACATTATTTAATTAGAAAAGCTTTTGGCTTGTTTTTGTAAATAAGTTATAAGGGCATTATTGTTTGAAGAAATAAACCTTTTTCGATGAATAATGTATTTTTACAAGAATTTTTTTAATTTTTTTAATTTTAATTATAATAGTTCAAATATCGTTTAAAAATTCTTTATTGCTTTTAGTTTTAAGCATTGAAGAATTTTTGAACTAATATTATTTCTGTGTGCTTTATTTTAAAGTTAATAAAAATTAGAATTTAATTTTTAGATGAATTTATTTTTCCCCAAGAATTTATGCAGGAATTTTTTTATTGCATAATTTTTGTTCTTGCTTTATTTATCTTCAATAGTTGATAACTTTTTAAAATATTTACATTTTTTGTCTAATTTTTCTTGCTCTCCTTAGGATTTACTTATAAGAACAGATTTAAGTAAAAAAAAAAAATTTTTTGTTCATAAAGCATAATACATGAAATAAATATTTTTGTAATTAAACATTAAAATTTTTTAAACACTTTCATCTTTTTGGTGTACATTAAAAAGTGATTTACTAAGCCAAGCGTAAAGCTGTTTGAAATTGATGGAAGTATTTTAGAAAGTTATTATAATTAGTGTGTAGTTTTAGATATATTAGAGATGTGGGTTCTTTTTAATAATGGTCATAAAGTACTTACTCATTTTAGAGAATAATGCTAGTTGCCTTTTGAAGTGACAAGACTATAGTCAAAATTACTAAATTAATATCTGTACCTTTCCAAGGGCAAACAGAATGAAAGCGGTAATAACAGTGACCAGTTTTTAAACGTGGCTTACTACTTTTTCTGATGAAATGACATGGACTTGATTACACTTTTAAATCATTATTAGATTGAGAGACCCTAATAAAGAAATTTTTTAAATATAGTTAAAAAAACTATTGATTCATATAAACTTGCAGGGTATTTTTTTTATGAAAATATAAATGTGCTTTTGGTAAGAACTATTTAAAACAATTTTTCAAGAGTCTGGTTTTATATTTATTATCTATAATTTTGTGGAGTCTTTATCATTCAAAAGAGATACATTTTGTGGGAACAGAAAATCTACTGTGGTATGTTTTCTAACTTTGTATATGTTACAGATACATTAATGCCTTGATATTCAACAAGTAAGTTTAATTTGTTCCAAGCTTGTAACTCAAAAGACTTGTATCAATTTTCCTCATTGAAATTAATGGAAATATTTCTGATCTGTGCTAGGCTCCTAAAACTCACCCTTATTTTTGTGCATGTGGGTTTCTTACAAGCAAAAACATGTGAATAAACAAGAAATGTAGTTTACAAACAATAAAATAAGAGAAAGAAACCTATTGTAAAGAAATAAAATGTAGTAAACCATGAAGTTCAGACGAGTCATAGGTCAACTGGCAGAGGAGAGAGAGAGAGAGAGAGAGACAGACAAAGACAACAACTAGCCTAGCAGCTGCTAGCCTAGTCTATGATACTGAAGATTAACTTTATCACTTTTAAATTTTTTAACTGTTAACTAATTTTTTTTTTTTTATTTCTTGTTGATGTAGAATGCTCATACTGTCTCACCAAATCTATTATTCATGTCTTCCTCATTTTTTTTTTTTTAATTTCCTGCTTTACATCAAGCAAAATTATGTGTTTCAGCTTTTCAGCACTGTGCTTTACATTTACTTTTTTGGACCCATGGTGCCATGAAACGAATTTTGCAAAATAATGGCAAAAATGACAACACAGCAGAGATCCTTCCACATGTACAGCTAGTGGTAATACTCTTGAAGTTTGGTGCTTGCTGTGCCAACTAGCAGATACTTAACTGAAACTTGCTCATGTTTCATTAAATTTTTATATATTTTTGTATTTTTCAAATTTTTATATCATGGGGTGTTTTTGTAGGTTCACCCCTGTGAATATGTGGTATATCTAAATCTTAATGGTGATGGATAAGTTATTTTGGTAAATGGTTTGGTTTGTTTTGTTTTATGACATATCCTCCTCAAAGGGTTATTTAATGCCAACAAGTTATATAGATAAAAAAAAGTATTCTCTGTGGTTTGGTTTGTTTTACAACATATTAACCTCAATGGTATTATTTTCTTCAAAAATGTACTGCTGGTAATAATTTTTCCTCAAAAAATTTGTTGCCGGTATTAAAACATTTTTACCCTTTCATAGTGTTTTGACCTTAGCTTGGGGGTTAACTATTTGCCCACTATGTAGTTGGGACCCTAACAGGTGCTACCACCCCAGGTAAGTGTGGACCTGGCAATTAAGAGGGGTTCCACGCTCCTCAAAACCTCCTGATCTTGCTATTGGACATAGTTTATCGTCATACCCAGGACAGCTTTTGGTAAATGGATCAATTGTATTGAATGAATGGGTTGTGATTGTGCTTTACACTTACTTTTTTGGACCCATCTAGGAATAAGATAGCGAAGACCAGCTTTTACCCCCCCCCCTGGACATGTGCCACAATTATTGTATCTATACAATAATGAATAAATTTGGTAATTTTTCTTTGGCAGATCACGCACAAAACACAAACTCTTTATTGAGGTAGGTGATTATCTCTTTTACTACACCTAGCAATAAGTAATGCCTTGAGATATGAGCACACCAACATAAAATTTTTTGGAGATACAAGCCAGAATTCATCCCATCTCAAGGGGGAAGGAATGAACCCTGAAAACTAACAAAA